CAAACCCACCAGCCACTCCTCAGAAGGAAGACTGGGCAATCTACTTCCGTAGTGATACTGCCTCGGAAACCCAGGGAGGGGTTGCTATGAGTCGGGTCCGACTCCACGGCACATAACAACAACAACAACATCCTTGTGATTGGCCAAGGCCCGAGCTGTGCTGTTGTTAGCTGCAGTGGAGTTGGCCCCCGACTACGGCGACCCCACACCCTCCGGAATAAAACGCTGCCTGGTCCTCTGCCCTCCCCAGGACTGGTTGTGGATCGGACCTTTGTGATCCACAGGGTTTTCACTGACAGATTTTTGGAAGTTGTCAGCCCTTTCTCCCTAGTCTGTCTTAGTCTGGAAGCTCTGTTGAAATCACCAAGAGCTCAGAGCGACTCACCAGCCTGTGCTGACTGATGGGTGGTGGCCGTGCGTGGGGTGTATTTAATGGGATTTAAGCTGCGTCTCCCACGTGGAAGGTAAGAACACTACCGCTGAACCCCATTACTGCTATGCTACGAAGAAATGCACCTGCTGCAGTGTAGTGAAGTGCTTAACAGGGCCCTTCCAGCCACCGTCCTCTGTTTTGTGATGTATTGTAAATCCTAATCTATTGGCTTGTTTAAGGAGCTCTGGTAGTGTAGTGCCTAAGGCATCTGACTGCTAACCGGAAGGCTGGCGGATCAGACCCACCAGCCACTCCTCAGAAGGAAGATGGGGCAATCTACTTACGAAGAGATACCACCTCGGAAACCCAAGGAGGGGTCACTATGAGTTGAACCAACTTGACCAGCTTGACGGCAGTGTTTGATACTGGTTTGGTTGCCTGTTCCGGGGGAATGTATCTTGAGTCCTGCCTTGCTGCGTCATGTGACTCAAGTCACCACCCTCAGTCTCCTCGAGGGTGTGTATGTGATCCTTCAGGCCAAGGTCACCCTCTCTTGCTCCTTATCCTGCATTTGGTTCATGATCATCTCACTCCTGGAGTCGAGACCTGCTGATTTGGGTTCCTCAGCCCCTGCAACCAAGTGAGTGAGGAGAATCCTCCACACCGACCCCTGACCCACGGCTTTGGGACTTGCCAGCCTCTACCACCTCCACCACTATGTGAGCCATTTCCTTGGCATCGTGTGAGTTCTGTGAAATGTTGCAGCAAATTACAGAATCCAAAGACAGGAGGGAGAGTCCTGAGGGGAGATTGACGTTGTCAAGGATTTCTTTTTACTTGGATTCACAATCAATGCCCATGGAAGCAGCAGTCAAGAAATCAAACAACCTACTGCATTGGGCAAATCTGCTGCAAAAGACCTCTTTAAAGTGTTAAAGAGCAAAGATGTCACTTTGGAGGTGCACCTGACCCAAGCCAGGGTATTTTCAACAGCCTCTTACGCACATGAGAGCTTAACAATAAATAAAGAAGAACACAGAAGGATTGATGCATTTGAGTTGAGGTGTTGGCAAAGAATATTGAATGTACCACAAACTGCCAGAGGAGTGAACAAATCTGTCTTGGAGGAAGTACTGCTGGAATGCTCCTTAGAAGTGAGAGTGGCCAGACTTCGTCTAAGGCAGTTTGGTGACATTGTCAGAAGGGACCATTCCCTAGAGAAGGATATCATACATGATAAAGTAGAGGGTCAGTGAAAAAGAGGAGTCCTCAGTGAGGTGGGTGACACACTGGCTGCAAAGATGGGCTGAAACAAAGGAAAAATTGTGAGGATGGTGCAGGACGGGTAGTCTTTTGTTCTGTTGGACCAGGGTTGCTATGAGTTGTAGACGGCTCCTCGACACCTAACAACAACAATAACATATATCCTGTTACTATTGTTTTGAGTTTGTCTTTTAATTCTATGAGTATGTTTTTGCTGTAAAGAAGGTAAAATCCTGTATGTGGTCACATCTGTCACTAGTTCTTTTTATGGACTGAATTTCCCATGATGCTTAGGAAAACGTTTTCAACCTCGTCATACATGCATACACATGCATATCCTTCTGGAATTTTTATTTTTTGTTTAAATCTTTAGTTTATCATGAATTTTGTGTTTTCTTTATAAAACTATGTTTGATGTAAAAAAAAAAAAAAACTAGAAAGAAAACAGTTTGATGGTATAGGAAAAGCACAAAGAACAAAATACATATTTAGAGCTAAAATGCATAAAGTTTTTTTTAAAAAGCAAACCAAACTCACTGCCGTTGAGTTGGATCTGACTCATAGAGACCCCTCTTTGGGTTTCCGAGGTGGTATCACTATGGAAGTAGATTGCCCAACCTTCCTTCCGAGGAGTGGCTAGTTTTTTAAAGGAGTAATTTTTTTTTTTTCAGGTTGCTTTGTAATCTGCTTTTTACACTTAATAGATATTAAACATTTAATTTCAACATCACTCTTCCTTTCTTTCTTTTTTTTAAAATTGTGATTTGGGTGAAAGTTTACAGAGCAAATTCACTTTCCATACAGCAGCTCACATACACTTTGTCTCATGACATTGCTTATAATTTACCCCAATGCAACAGGTCCCCTCCCACTTCCTCCCCATAGTTGCTTCTTCCCTGTGTCCTTTGATTTGGGTGGAATTTTACTAAGCAGATTCGTTTAACATTGAATGGTTCATACACATTTTTATTTTGTGACATTGATTCCAGTCCCCACAGTGGAGCAGCTCTCCTCCCACGTGCTCCCTGTGGTCACCGTTTCCCTGTGTCCTTCTTTCCTATCCATTCCTGCCTCCCTTGGTTTGTCCCTGTGCAAACACTGCCTTTCTGGTCACCCATGTTTGCTTGTTCTGAGGAGTGCATTCCCTGGGGTAGTAGTTCAGCTCACAGCCCTGTCTACTGTTTGGCTGAGAGTTAAGCCTCGGGAGTGAGTACAGTTCCAGTCCTGAATGTGGCTAAAAGCCATACCCTCGGGGGTTTTACTAGTCTCTATCCCACCAGGAATCCTGGTCTTTTTTATGTTTTTGAATTGTGTTCAATATTTTTCTCCCCCTCTGTCCAGGATCTCCAGTTTGCTCCCTCTCTGAGTGGTTGGCATTGGTAACCGGGCACCATTTAGTTCTTCCGGTCTTAGGGTTGTGGATGCTGAGCTTCCCACGGTCCGTTAATCCTTTGGACTAATAGTTGCCATGCGTCTTTGATTTTCTTCACCCTTCTTTGCTCTGGACGAGGGGAGACCATTAGTTGCATCTTAGTTGGCCACTCACAAGCTTTTTAGACATAGACCTCAGTTGCTACTCAACAAAATAAGATGGAGAACAATGTTTTTGCATACTATGTTGTGCCAGTTGAGCTTGATGTCCCCATGACCATGGTCCTGAGCTCAGAGGCTTAGCAACTCACTCCCTCAAAGTGCTTAGTTGTGGCTAAGAAGTCATCCTAACTTTGTACCCTGCTAGCTCTGTAATAGGAGCTCTGGTAGCATAGTGCCTAAGGCACTTGACTGCTAACCAGAAGGCTAGCGGTTCAAACCCACCAGCCACTCCTCAGAAGGAAGGTTGGGAAATCTACTTCCATAGTGAAACTGCCTTGGAAACTTGGGGCTGCTATGAGTCAGGTTTGACTCGACAGCACATAACAACAACCGCTCTGTAATGCATGTGGACATTTTTATAGTACATACAAGTATGTCTGTAGGAATATTGTCTGCCAAACTTATGTGTGGTCGTGAGTATATTCCCGTTCACCTACCCATACCTGATCTTCTTGCCTGTCTACCTGTATCCACCCGTGGATTAGTGTTTGTTATTACTGACAATGCAGTGCTGGGTATGTAATAGTATTTACCTTTGTTATCTGCACATCTTGTGCACCTCTCCCGTCTTCCTTTTCCTTAGCGATGTTTTGATCATCACACGCTTTTGTTATATTGCCTTTCCCTTCCTCCAAATCAACACATCTCTTACCTAGCCACCAATTTTCCCTTCTCTCCCCTCCCATCCCTCATAACCAACAAAGATACTTTTTTTACTATCTAAACCTTTCCTTGACTTCTTACAGTAGTGGACTCATAAAATATTTGTCCTTCTGTGACTGACTTATTTCAATCCAAGTGAAATAATTATAATACTATGTCTTCCACATTCATCCCCGTTATGAGATGAATCGTGGATTCTTCATTATTCTTTAATGTTGCATAGTATTCTATCGTGTGCATGTATCATAGTTTGGTTATCCATTCATCTTTTGATGGGCACCTAGGTTGCTTCTGTCTCTCTGGTGTTCTGAATAGTGCTGTGATGAACATGGGGATGCATATGTCTATTCGTGTCTCGGATCTCATCTCTTTAGGATGTTTTCCTAGTAGTGGGATTGCTGGATCAAATGGTACTTACATTTCTAACTTTTTAAGGAAGCACTATACTGTTTTCCACAGGGTACCATTTTACAGTCCCACTAGCAGTCAACATCTTTGTTAATGACTGTTTAGTATTCTGTACATTTTTTAATAGTGTCTTTTTCTTATTGATTTGCAAGAACTGTTTGTATATGAAGTATATTGACCACTGTGTGTTATATACGTGTTACAAGTATACTTCCCCTGTTTTTTGATTCCCTTTAAATTTTGTCTCCAGTGTTGTTAAATTGTTGTTCTTTTCCTTAATAATTTATGACTTTAGGGATCAGATTTGAATGTTCTTCCTTAACCAGAGATTATATGTTCTTTTGTGTTTTTCTGCTGTCACAGTTTTATGGTTTTATTTTCTGGCATTTAAGTCTTTAACCCATGTGGAGTTTTTGTTAGTATAAAGTTTGAGCTTGGGAATAATATAACTTAATATTTTCTCAAGAAGGTCATCTAGAGAGGACCTGGCTGGGGCGGGGTGTGTGTGTGTGTGGTAGTGGTTTCTGGGGCCAGTTTTGCCATGAGGGCGGAGGCATTGACTTGTTGGTGACTGTCTCTTTGCTCTTCCCGACAGGCCTTGGAGACCCGGGCTAGCCCTGGCCATACCCCAGGCTGTGTCACCTTCGTCCTGAATGACCACAGCATGGCGTTCACTGGAGATGCCCTGCTCATCCGAGGGTGTGGGCGGACAGACTTCCAACAAGGTCACAGTGCCCTCTGCCCAGCCTGAGCTCTTCATCTAGTTGTGTGTGTCCCAGGGTGTTAAGTATCAATGCCAGCAAAGATGAATGAATGAATGGTAGACTTACAGGAGGTCAGCATTAGATTTAAGGGGGTTAGCTGTTCACTCTTCACAATAGCAAAGAGATGGAAACAACCTAGGTGCCCATCAACAGGAGAATGGATAACCAAATGTTCAGATATACACACAATGAAATACTATGCAACACTGAAGAATAACGTAGAATCTACAAAACACCACATGACATGAATAAACTTGGAGGACATTATGCTGAGTGATATAAGTCAATCACAGAAGGACAAATATTGTATTAGTTCACTATTGCAAAAAGTCAAGGAAAGTTTTTTTTTTTTTTTTTTTTAAAAAAAAGATAAAACCTCACCAAAAGCACACACATGCAAAATTTAGCTGGGCTTAGCTGCTGGAGGGAGCAAGAGTCAGATTTAGGAAGTTAGCTGCTAAAGGACAGTTAGATTCAAGGGTTTAGCTGTTATGAAGCACTTCGGTTTAGGTGTGTATTAGTTAGCAATTGCTGTGTAACAATCACCTGCAAACTTGGTGACTTAAAACAGTGATTAGCATTTATATTTGATACACTTTCTGAGAGTCAGAAATCCGGGAGTAGCTTTGCTGGGTGTCTCTTGTTCATGACTTAAGAAAATTTTTGCCTGCAGGTAACTGAAAAACCCACTGCAGTGGCTTCTAAAGAATTGGGAGTTTAATTTTCTCCCCTAACAGGAGATCTGGAGGAAGGCAGTTGCTGACTTTCATTCAGCAGCACTATTGTTTGTGGGGTTCTCTTGGCCTTTCCTTTCTCAGGGTTGCAAGGTAGCTGCTGCAGCAGCAGCCATCACACCTTATGTTCACAGTCAGAGGAAGTGAAAAGGGGAAATGCCAGTTCCTTTTATCAGGAGGGGAAAAGCTTACCCAGAAGTCCTCGGGAGTGTCTCAAGAGCTTGCAATCAAGCTGTCAGACAGGGCTACAGTCATCAGAAGGCTTGACTGGGGCCGGAGGATCCCTTTAGAGGGTGGCTTGCTCCCACGGCTGACATGTTAGTGCTGGTTGTTGCAGAAGACCTTAGTTCCTTGCCATGTGCACCTCTCCATAGGACTGCTTGAGTGTCCTCAGACACAGCGGCTGGATTCTCCCAGAGGGACAGAGCAACAATTTTTATTATAATTTAGCTTCAGAAGTTACACTCTATCATTTCTGCAGTATGCTACTTACTGAAACCAGGTTGTTTAGTCCAGGCCACTGAGTCAAACCAAAAAACCAAACTCACTGCTATCTAGTCGATTCCTAGATTGTCCAGTCTTCTTTCCATGGAGCAGCTGGTGGGTTTGAACCACTGACCTTCCGGTTAGCAGCCAAATACCTTATCCACTGTGCTACCAGAGCTCCTTGTTTTATAACGACCATCAGAGGTTTAGCTGCTAGGGGTCGGGGAGGACAGTTATTCAAGAGCTTAGGTCCTAAGGTGCAGTTTGGTTCTGGTATTTAGCTGTTAGGAGGTTGTTGGATTTAGTGGCTTAATTGCTAGGGGGTTGCATTTAAGGAACTCTGGTGGTGTAGTGGTTAAGGTATTTGGCTGCTAACCAAAAGGTTGGCAGTTTGAACCCACCAGCCATGCCGTGGGAGAAACTTGAAGCAGTCTGCTTCCGTAAAGATGTACAGCCTTGGACACCCTGTGGGGGTCACTCTGAGTTGGAATCCACTGGTGGCAGTGAGTTTGGTTTGGGTTTGAGTGTTACATCTGGAGATGAGCTGCTGGGGCAGTTAGACCCAGGGGCTCAGCTGTGGGACCAGAGTTCAGTTCACACACCTCAGGGCCTAGCTGCCTTTCGAGTGTGGGTGTGAATGTGGGTTTTGACAGTAGATTTGGAGGCTTTAGCAGCCTTGTGGGAAGAAGGGCAAGGCTGGATAAGAGAGAAAAGGCAGAAACCACACTGAGCTGTGGCCAGTCCCCGGTCCCTCTTGCTTTCCCTTCCCTCTGTCCTTACCTCTCCATCTCTCTCTGGTATTTCCTGCCCCCCCTCTCTGAGGCTCCCGGTCTCCTATTCATCTGCTCCCCACACAATCATGAAATGATTGACAGGAAAGGCAGAAGAACATTCCAGAAAGGTTTGGCCCTACCCCAACTTAGGACGCAGAGCTGCTTCTTGGAACCATGACTCCAGTCTCTTCCTTGGCCTCATGTCTCCCATTTCTCCTCGTCCTGTCCACCTTCTTTGCCCAGAACCCTGTCTTGGTATCTGTGGGGTGAGGTCCACAACTCCATAGTGCTCCAGGGTCTCACCCAAAATCTTTTTTTTTTTTTAATTTAATTTTATTATTTTTTCATTTAAATATTTACTGTGACTTGGGTGACAGTTTACAGAGCAAATTCATTTTCCATACAGCAGTTCATACACATTTTGTTTAATGTGTTGTGCCCAGGCTGTAAAGGAGAATTTCGGAAGAGAAGAAGACGCCAACCCACGCCAATGCAAATGCAATAGGACAGTTTATTAGCTAACTTAAGTCAGGGTCTTTGCCCTTGCCAGGTCAGTGGCTTAAGCAAAAGACCCCGTACCCCGTTTCCTTCTTCAATTTATAGAACAATATGAGGAGGGGCAGCACCGGGGCGAGGGGGTACAGGTGATTGGTTGTTGCCAAGGGATTCAGGGCAGTGATCTAAGATGTTGGGGGGCATAAAGAAACTCCCCCCAGCTCCAAAGTTCACTTAGGAAAATATTATCTAGGGAGGATGCGGCTCAGATATGGGGAAGACTTTTGGGAGCCTCGCAAATCTCTGATACGTGCTGAATCCGGATGGCTTTTGTGATGCGTGCTGAGTTCGGAGGAAGTTCCTTGATACCTGCTGAGACTGGAGGGCAGATAAAGGCCCTAAGGAGTGTTTAGAATTACAAAAGTTCTGTTAGCACTACTGACACTAAAAGGTTTCTGGTTAAAGATTTTCCTGGAGGCTGCTAGAATTCTGGCTTCAGATTGACTCACAAATGACATCGACTACAATCCCCATAATGTAACAGCTCTCTTTCAACTTCCTCCCTGTGGTTACCTCTTCCCTGGGTCCTTCTTTCCTATGCGTTCCTCCCTTTGAGCTGTCGCCCTGCGTAAATACTGCCCTGCTGGTCTCCTGTGGTTGATCGTTCTAAGGCATGTACCTACCTGGTGTAACTGTTCACCCCATGTGCCTGTCTAAGGTTTGGCTGGAAGCCACGGGAGTGAGTTCAATTCCAGACCTGAAGGGTAACTAGGGTCCATAGTCTTGGGGTCTCACCAGGCTCTGTCAGACCAGCAAGGCTGGTTTTCTTATAAATTTGAGTTTTGTTCCACATTGTGTTCTCCCAGTCTGTCCAGGATCTCCTGCACGATCCCTTTCCGAGTGGTTGACAGTGGTAGCCAGGCACCAAAATTGTTTTCCACCATGCTGAATTTCTCACCTCACCGTTCCTCAATTCTTTGTTTATCCTGTTCCATCTGCCCGGGTTGCCCTGCCCTCTCCTCCTCCTCTATCTGGACAAGAGAGTACTAGATGAGGATGGGGCTTAGCCTCAGTGACTTTGTCTTCCCACCCTTTTCCTGAAGGAAGGGGTTAGGGAGCTTTTCATGTCCTATTGACCCACTGACCTCTGAGCTTTCCCTCCCTAGGCTGTGCTAAGACTTTGTACCACTCAGTCCACGAAAAGATCTTCACGCTTCCAGGCGACTGTCTGATCTACCCTGCTCATGATTACCATGGTGAGGGCTTCTTGGAGGAGGTGGGGGCTTATATAACTTACTTTTGGAAAGGGGGTACCAGACTGCTGTGTCTTTGGGGGGTGCAAATGGTTAAGCGCTCATCTACTAACTGCAAAGGTGGCTGGTGCAAACCCACCTCAGAAGAAAGGCCTGCTACTTTGCTTCGAAAGGTCATGGTCTTGAAAACCTACGGAACACGATTGGACGCTGTGGCACACAGGGTCGCCGTGAAGGGGTCAGCTTGACGACAGCTGGACACAGGGTCGCCGTGAGGGGGTCAGCTTGACGACAGCTGGATTTTGTTGTTGTTGTTTATCAGACTGCCAGGTCCCTAGATGGCGCAAACTACTAACCCAAAGGTTGGTTTGAATCAACCCAGATGCACCACACAAGAGAGGCCTGGTAATCGGCTTCCCTAAAGATTATAGCCAAGGAAACCCCACGGAGCGGTTCTACCCTGTAACACATGGGGCTGTGGAGTCAAAATCAACTCAGTGGCAGTGAATTTGTTTTGGTTTATCCTTATGGAATGTGGAGACTGTAATTCCAGAAGCCTGAAAGCAAACACTTAGCTACAGTGTGTGTGAGTGTGGAAACTGTAACGGCTAGAATTCCACAGGGCATGAATTTCCCTGGGACTGCCTGAGTTTGGGTTGGGTTTGTCATTCTTAGAGAAGTATGGAAAACTACATTTCCCATAGTGCCCATTGAGGCGGGAAGGCAATCTCAGGCACATTTCTGGGAAGACACTGGTAGCCCCAGGCCAGAGAGGCCCCTCAAGGCCTCCTGGGAAATGTAGTCCTGGGAGGCCTAGGGCTCTGGACCAGTCTTTTTCCCCCTCCCTTGGCCACTAGGCCTCACAGTGTCCACTGTGGAGGAGGAAAGGACTTTGAACCCTCGGCTTACGCTCAGCTGTGAGGAGTTTATCAAGGTCATGGACAACCTGAACTTGCCCAAGCCTCAGCAGATAGGTAAGCCACTGGGGGATGGGACTTCTGGGTTTGGGGGTGGGGCCCTACTGGGTTTGGGGGTGGGGCTAGGGCCCAGCCAGGGTCTGAGGGTGGACAAGAGACTGAGGCCTGGACACTTGGGGCTGAGGGAGGAGGTTTTGAAAGACATGATCTTTGAGTCTGAGGAAGGAGAAGACTCATGGCTGGAATCCTATGTTGTTGTTGTTCTGTGCCATCGGGTCAGACCTGACTCATAGCGACCCCTCCTTGGGTTTCCGAGGCGGTATCACTACGGAAGTAGATTGCCCCATCTTCCTTCCGAGGAGTGGCTGGTGGGTTTGAACCGCCAGCCTTCTGGTTAGCAGTCAAGTGCCTTAGCCACTATGCTACCAGAGCTCCCCTATCCCTCCAAAAGGGGTCCTAGGATTCTGGTTCCCAGTGGGGCATGGAGGTCTGTCTGGGTCCCTTAGTCTCCCCCTTGGTCTCTTGCAGACGTTGCTGTTCCAGCCAACATGCGCTGTGGGGTCCAGACCCCACCCTCCTGACGCCTGTTCTCCATCAGGTGCTCGTATCCGTTACTGATGCACGAGGTGGGGTAAGGGGAGAGGTGTCACCCTACTCTCCTCTCTCCACTCCACCAGCCCTTCAAGCTTCATAAGTAAACTTTTGTGTGTGTGCTCTGTGAATCTGACTCCTGCCTATTTTTCTGGGGGGAGCCAGTGGGGTTTCTGGGCTGAGGTGCCTGGAGTTGCTTCTGGTCTCCTGGAGAGGCCAGAGCAGCTGGCCAAGGTGAAGGTCAAGGGATCCGTAAGGGGATTTTCCTAACTCACAAGATCAGAAGCAAACACAGAAATCTGGGGCGGCATTTCTCATGTCCTTGGCTGAGAACATCCTCTTGAGTTAGAGCCACTTGTCCCTGTGAGATCCAGGATAAGACACTTCACCGCTCCTGGCTCCAGCTTCCTCCTCTTAATGGGGATGTCATGGCAGGCTTAATGATAGGGTGGTTGTGACTGGCAGTGAGTCCAGGCGCACGAGGTGCTTGGCACCATGCCTGCGTGGAAGGCTCTGTATCGTGTTAACGATTATCATTGTTTGCAACAGTTTTTCAGGCACTTCCTGGCCTGGAGTGACAGTCTGCAAACATGGGCTTCCCAGGGGATGAATCTGGCATCAATATTTTCAGCATGGGTGGACCTTGGGCACATTTGTACCCCCTCAGCCTGTTTCCCCAGCTGTAAAATGGAGCAGTCCCTTCTCACTGCCCTGCTGTGAAGATGGAATTATTGGGTGTAAAGTGTTCAGCACAGCTCCCCACTAATCACCCCTTTTCACCTACCAGCTGTTTTCCTGTTTTTGCCCAGAGGGGAAAGGGCCTGGGTGAGGCCTCTAACCTCTCTCTGCATACTTCCCCCTCTCTCTGGGTGGGTCTTTGGGGTGCCCCCTGCCCTTGCCCAGCTCCCCAGACCGGTGGGGCCCTTCTAAACGGCTCATTAGAGGGGATAGGCCCCCACCTCCATTTCCCCTTTTCCTTCCTCCCTCTTCCCCCCCCCCCGGGGTCTCGGCATTCAGAAGGCGGTTCTACAGAGTCGAGTCGGCCCAGGAGCCACCTGGGCCTTTAGGGGGCAGGAGTGGGGGCGCTGGAGGCCGAGTGGGATCGGGGTGCCGGGTTCTCCGAGGGTGGGGCCAGTGGGGCCGGGATGGCCGGATGCCGCAGTCGCGGGCGGGGCAAGCTGGTCGCTCCCTCCTCCCTCGGGAGCGGTCGGACCTGTTGTCCCCCTCCCTCCACTTCCGGGCTGCTGGGGAGGGGGATGAGGCGGCCTCTCTCCCTCTTCCCCAGCCACCTGTCTCTTAGACAGAAGCGGGAGCGCCCAGAGCACAGAGGGGAGCGCGCCGAGGCCGGAGCTGGTGAGGGCGTCAGGGTCGCTGGATGGGAGGCGGTTGGGGACTCGCCTCTTAGGGGCCACGGGAGAGATGGGGGTTGGAGTTTGGGATCTCGCTCTCGGAAGGATCAGAGGACTCAGACTCCAGGCTTGTCCAGAGAGGAGGAGACTGGGAGCCTGATTACTGGGTCCCTGGGTGAGGTGGCATGGGCGCTGCTCTCTACACCGGGGGTCTGGGGCCAAGGCTCTGGGGAGGAGGGTTTGGGGTTTAAGAGACAAGGGGGCAGGAGTCCGGACTTCTGAGTCCCGGAGGGAGGAGTCACTTTAAGGTAGTCCAAGGGATTGAGGGGGCTGCTGGGACGGTACGAGGACAGACACCACGATAGGAGTGGGGAGAAGGGGTCTCAGAGGCGGGTGGGGGGCGTGCTAGAACCCGGGATTCCAATTCCAGCCCCGCCTCCGTGGGCGTGGCATCCTTGGAGCCATCAAGCCCCACCCCAACCTTATGCTCTGCCCCTAGAAAGCTCAGGACACGCCCCCGGAATGCTTAGTTTCCCTCCTTTGAACCCTTAGGCCCCGCCTCCTGAAGCGCGCTCAGAACTCCTAAGCCCCGCCCCCGACGCGGCTAGGCCCCGCCCCAGGCCTGCGGGCCCCGCCTACCCCGCCAGAGCGCTTAGAGGCCATGGGGACGCCTAGGCGCCCCCAGAAGGGGTCTCCACCGCCTCCGATCCCGGAGTGCGACGCGGAAACCCAGCTCCAAGGGCCCGCTCAGCTTCAGGAGTCCCCCGAGGACCCTCGGGAACCAGAGGCGCCCGAGGCCCCGGAGGAACTTCCGAACGGCCGAGGAGCCGAGCAGCAAGCGGAAGAAGAGGAAGAAATAGAAGGCAGTAGCACCGAGAGCGGCCGCGACATGGTGAGAGGCCCGGAGGGAGAGGGTCGCGGGGACCCCCGGAGAGAATCAACGGGAGACCGAGAGTTACAGAGAAGTCAGCGAAACAGAGACCCAGAGACAGCGCCAGAGATAAGGAGACTGAGACAGAGACCGAGACCAGAGCCGGCGAGACACAGAGACAGAGACACAGGAAACCCTCAGAGACCCACCCGGGAGACAGAGACATGAAGGCTGAGAGACAAGGCCCAGAAGGGAGACCCAGAGACTTAGAGAGACACGCAGACAGAAACCCAGAAACGAAGGGCAGAGACTAAGAGAAACGGGAACAGAGGCAAAGAAACCTCGAGAGAGGGGGAGAACCCGAGGGAGAAAGACCCAGAGATTCAGAGACAGAGAGACGCAGAGACAACTGCTAAGCCAGAGCGAGAGAGACCCGGGGAAACGGGTAGGGACGCATAGAAACCCAGAGAAAGAGAGAGGGACCTTGGGACTGTGGGCAGGTGACAGCTAGAGGAGGGGACCCAGTTAGAAAGGATCTTCTCCCAGGAGTCCGCCCCGCCCTCCCTGGACTTGGAGCCTCTGGGTGCTCGAGGCGGTGGTCTCCGGACCTGCACCCTCCCTCCACTCTACCTTCAGTATCAGAGCTTTGTGGATCGCAGACCCCCTGACAGGGGCGGGTGCAAGTGGGGAAGGGCCTGTTTAAGGACTGCGGGGTGGGGGTGGGTGGGAGTGAAGTGTGAGGTGTGCGCTCACCGCTTGACCACGCCCTCTTCAGCCTCAGCCCGAGGCCCCGCCTCCCGTGCAGATCCCCGCCACGCCCCCTACGCCCACCTGGTCCGGGGACGGCGCCCGAGGGGTGGCGCGCAGGCTTCGCGGGCAGCAGCTGGAGGCATTGACCCGCGTGGCCCTGATGGAGCAGCGGGTGAAGGAGCTGCAGCGCCAGAGGAAGGAGCTGAGGATCGAGGTGAGGTTGTGGACCCGTTTCGGAGATCCGGTCCCTACGCGTGAGGATCCGTGACGCCAGGCCCCTCTACCGTTTCTTTCCTGGGTGTCGGATTCTAGGTCTCCAGTCCCTCCTCCCTCAGGCCCAGGAGTCTAGGCTCCTTCCTGTCTGTGATCCAGGCGTCCAGACCCTGACCCTTGCATTCTCTCTGCAGATGGAGGTGGAGGTGGCCCTGCTGCGGGGTGAGCTGGCTGGGGAGCGGGTGGCCGCCCGGCGGGAGGAGGAACAGCTCCGGGAGCTCTTGGGGCAGCAGGAGGATTCGGAGCAGGGCGGCCGAGAGCAGCGCGAGCAGGTGTGTGTGTGTGGCCCGCTGGCTCTTCGTCACCTGGTTGGTTCCTTGTTGGATCTTCCCAGGGGTGCGCCTGGTGACCTGGGTGCCATCATTACCCCCATTCCCCAAATGGGGCCACTTGGGCTCCAGGGAGATGAGGTGTTTCCTTGGGAGTTTTTTAGGTCTGGATCATTGGGACCTTTGCCTCTGTATTGCTCTGTAAACGTGGTATAATGTTGTGCACGGTTGAGTCGCCTCGGAATCATAGCAATCCTGTGGACAACAGAACCAAACACTGCCCCGTCCTGCACTGGCCTCACAATCCTTGCTATACCTGAGCCCATCATTGCAGCCACTGTGTCAATCCATCTTGTTGAGGGTCTTCCTCTATTTTATTGACCCTCCACTTTACCAAGCATGATGTCCTTCTCCAGGGAATGGTCCCTTCTGACAATTGGACCAAAGCAGGTGAGACGAAGGCTGGCCATTCTCACTTCCAACGAACTTTCTCACTGCAATTCTTCAAGGACAGATTTGTTAGCTCTTCTGGCAGTCCATTACTTTCAGTGTTCTTCGCCAACACAAGTCAAAATCATCAATTCTTCTTTGGTCTTCTTTATTCATTATCCAGCTTTCACATGCATATGAGGTAATTGAAAAGATTTCAAACTCACAGAAACAGAATAGTTGGAGGGGGTCCCATGTGTGTGCATGTGGCTTCAACAGTGACCAACCGTCTTCGTTCCTGTTTCAAGCCCCCCAGTTGGTTTCCTTGCCCCAAGTCTTAAAAACCAATCCCAGGAGTTATATGCCTGTAAATACTTTAGCGTGTGTCCTTTACAGATAAGAACTGTTTCTTAAAGACATCATCACCATGTCACACCATATCACACCTAAAGAATTAATAAGTTCTTAATATTGTCTAGTATTCAGTTGTTTTTCAGCTGTTCCAGATTGTCTCAAAAATGCCTCTTAACGGTTTATTTCCGTTAGCTCCCCAAAAGGCTGGTGTATCATACTTGGTTGATACGTTCCATGTGTGTTTTTTCACCTGTAACGGTTCCCTCTGAGTTTCACCCTGTGCTGTTCATGGTTGACGGTGCCGAGTCCCCGTCCACAGTTGGGGTCTGGCTGGTGGCCTGCCAGTGCTGTCGTTCATCACATCCCACGGGGTGAGGCGCACAGATTGAGATTTAGATTCAGATTGGTTTTAGGTCCAGTGCTCTGCGTTAGCAGGACATTATGTCTGGTTGTCCAGACCTCACGTCGCCCTCATCCCTCCTTTATAACCTTTTCCTTAAATGTTTGACGTCAGTTGTCAGTGGGCACTGCTTAGACTGCTTGTTTCGTTATAGGTGGGGAGGTGGTGACTTTGCAGCGCCATCAGTCTTTTTCCATGCATGGCCTTAGCTTTTATCTTGAGATTTCCCGGGCCCTCATTTACCCTCAGGGAGCCTCAGTTTCTCCTCTCATTGATTTATCGCCTGAGGGCTAGACCTGTGTGTCCTGCTTACTAGAGACTTTTTCCTCTTCTGGGACCCAGGAGTCTGGGTCCCCAGCCTCATCCCCACTCAGACCCAGGAATCTGGCTCCCAACTCTCTCCTTCCTCAGACCGAGGAGTCTAGGTCTCCAGCTCCCTCCCCACTCAGACCCAGGAGTCTGGCCCCCAACTCTCTCCTCCCTCAGACCCAAGAGTCTGGGTCCCCAGCCCCATCTCCCCTCAGACCCAGGAGTCTGGCCCCCAACACTCTCCTCCCTCAGACCTAGGAGTCCAGGTTTCTGGCTCCCTCCCCACACAGATCCAGGAGTCCGGGGCTCCAGCCCTTTTTCCACTCAGATCCAGGGGTCCAGGTCTCCAGCCCCCTCGCCCCTCAGACCCAGGAGTCCAAGCTTTCAGCCTCCTCCTCCCTCAGACCCAGGAGCCCCCCCCGCCCCCCCCCCAGTCCTGTTCTCGGTATACAGAGCTGATCTCAGCAGCTCCTCCTGCCCATTGTCCCTTTTGTCCCAGGCCAGCGTCCTGGGCCTGCCTGCCTC